GTTTGTTTATAGTTGACATTGTTGATGACGTAATTTATTGGCGACAACGAGGAATCACAAATTTTTATTTAAAATTATTGGAGAATTTACTCTAATGTATTGGAACTTAAGACGAGACAGTAAATGTGTATAAAGTAGAGAAAAGATTAATAAGAAATTATATTTAATTTTATTGATATAAAATATCTCTTTCTGCAGAATACTGCCATACTTCTAGGATCTGCCAACATACAGCAGGAAATACTTAGTTCAATGTGATATCATCACAGACAATCAATTATTCAGTAAAGACAAAATACACATCTCTCTCTACAGACTTAAATATTACTGACATTTCTTCAATCTTAATAGATTACCTTCATATTATAAAACAAACATAAGGGGCACTAGTTGATAGCAGGCCTAACTAAACAGTAATAAGTTCATCAATCAAGATTTGTACTGTCATTTAAACAATTATGTGATCTGACTGTTATGCAAAGAAGGAGATGTTTCATCACCACTACTTTGTAACTCTGCTATAGTTACATGCCAATTTTTATAAAATGAACCAAATTTTAAGGTTCATTTTGAGCTTCATGTAAAGTAGATAAAATAATAAACTATAATAAAATAAAATTAAACTCATCTGACAACTTACATGACCCCATTAGCATTCATTTATAGCAATTCATGCAAAAAGAAGTCATAAAACATGACATTTACGCCAATTAATATTCCACTTTTAACTAAAGCACCAAATTTATCTTGCAAAAGTAAAATTAAACTTATTTATGAAAAGCACAATGTAATTTTGTACTTACGTAGTATTGCAGTTGATAGAAAGCTTGTATGGGCGAGAATTAAGGGTGTAACGATTAGTCAGGGCCACTTGAGGCAAGGAATAACGCTGCACTGACCCAGATTCACGTCCAATAACCAGTGCCTTCTCTGATGCAGCCAAACAGCAAATTGGGTCAGCAGTTGCTTGCATATTAGTTGTAGGCTACTTGCAACAAACACATTAATATTATGAGTACAACTGCATATGGGAAATTTTCAAAAACATGATGAAATGAACATATCTTCTTATCATCATTATTGGGGTAATAATGCAGCAAGCACCTACACAAGCACAAAACATTTTTGAGGGTTTAATGAAATTAAATTTAAGTTACAGAAAACTGTAAACACCATTAAAAATCTAATAAATGTAAAGGGGGTGGCTGCGCGGTCTAAGGCGTGGGCCTTGTGCCGCTTGGTCGCTGGGACCGTGGGTTCGAATCCCACTCAAGCCATGGATGTTTGTCCGCGTTTTTCTGTGTTGTGCTGTCCTGTGTACAGGTAGAGGCCTTGTGACAGGCTGATATCTCGTCCAAGGCGTCCTACTGAATGTCTACAGATCAAGCCAACGAAAAGTTGGGACCTGCAGTGCTCAGGCACTTGAAGAACGGGTCGTTCAAGTATTCAAGTAATAAATGTAAAATATGCCAAATATGTGATCTTAATTCTTTCACTGCTTCACTCAGGATATTCCAGTTTGTAACAAATGTAATCTCTTTTAACTTTTCTGATAAGACATTTATGGCCAGCGACAAATTGTATATACTCTGTCATCATTTGACAAACATTTGGAAGGACCTGTACATTTCTTACAACATACAGTCAGTGAACTAAGAAATACTCAGGAGTCAAAAGGTTAAAATAAAGAACAGAATATACATTAGAGTTCTGGAAACCTTCATACATACAGAACAAAAATGTGTCACGTTTTTACTAAATGTAAATGAAAGATTAACCTGTAGAAGTTCTGTGAATTCAGAAGATAAGAGACTAGATTACTGGTTTCACGAACCTCATAGGATCTGTCAAGGTCTTGTATCACTTCTGCAACTCCAGATGGTGTATCATCAATATGGTAAAGTCTCTCCTTGCGTTGACGTGAACCTACGTTCACAAAAAGAATTTCCAGCAAACCTTATACTAACCTATATGTTACTTTATTTCATAGGTATAAATTTTTAATCCAATAAAATTTCAGTTAAATGTACATACAGTGGATTCCGGTTAATTGGGACACATCGGGACAAGAACATGTAAGCTACACCAGCATGGATCCTCTCAAGTACAGTTCCAAAAATAATTGTTACTTTCTAGAGCTTAAATTGATTATTCAGTTAAATAATAGTACAACAGAGGCATACCTGCCATACTAAAAGTAGATCGGGATTTTGGTGTCCTGTAGTGCCACAGCAAAAAGTTGTCTCGTGAAGCAGCAAACACATGAGATGAGTTCATTGCAATCCACAAGGGCTCAATATCCATGTACTTTGCTGTAAATTAAATAACGTAATCATAAGTGCATTTTATTCAGTTAATTATGATAAGTTCGTTAAATATTCCAATGACAATTACAGAGTGCATAATAATTTTTTTAATGCCACTGCCATTACCCAGAGTAAAGTAAAATAATTTTGCATATAAGGCTTTGCTTTTACTCCTGGCATATTTACGTGAATATTTCAAGCATTATTTCTTTCCCTCTGAGTCTATTGTTTATAAAATTTATTTCTGGAAAGAGCACTGTAGTGAACTGCAGCTTGGTATAGCACTGGCTTTCTGTTCTCAACCATAACCCTAGATTGTATGCTTCCAAAGTGTTTTGATTCACTGCTTGCAGAAACAGCTTATGTCTTTTGTGTGTCAAAATAATGTTTTGTGCTGCCACCTGAAGGCTTTCCATATTATGTTATGAAACACGAGTTTCTGCTACCCAAGAAGCAATTCTGCACATTGAAATTCTGCATTCATTTTATTTTATGACAGTTTTACCAAAGAAATGCATTTATGGGGCCTAAATACTTAGTGCCCCTAAGCGCATCAGACAGAACACTAATAAAAAAAAATACTTAGTGCCCCTAAGCGCGTAGCAAGGTTTCTTTTAAATATCCTATAACACCTAAAGATTAACAAATCTGTATGGTGAAGAGGTGGATTTATAATGCAGATATTTGTACACAAATACATATAACTTGAATAACAAATACAGAAGTACACTAACAAGTTCACAACTGCATCTGAGTTTCGCCACGTACTGGTGCTATGTACAGACTACCATGTCCAAACTAGGTAAGATAGTAACATGCTGTCAAAAGACAAAAAAGTTTCTTTTAGAATGAACTTCAAGAGGATGTTTTCCTATATCAATAACAGTGCAAAAGGCTACCGTTTACTTTTCTCTAAGTAAATACAGAAAGTTTGTCATTCATTTCTTTACCATTTTATATTGCCAACTGTCCGTTCACTATTACAAATACCTGGGCCGACAGGTAAGCCAGTAGCTGTGTTCCTGGGAAATGAAGTGTTAAGCTTGCAGAAAGAAAGTCTATAAAGTTTTGTTAAATTACAAGACAAATACCAAGAGAGATGTTATGATTTCAAGTCCCTATGGTTGATGTAAACATAAATATTTGTTGCGCCATTTAATATTTTAGTCGTGTGCCAAGCTTTTGGGGGAACATACAGTCTTCATTATCAGGGTTAAGTGAGGAATCCCAGTCTGAGTCCGAGCCTTTCATTGAGTCAGTCAGTCTGTCTGTCTTGGTGATGAACCCTTTTAATGCTCATGACAATATTTTAGTCCCTGAAATAAAGGAATGATGGGTGGTAGATGGTTTATATAGGGATAGGATTTGGAGGCAGGTCATGGGAATTGGTCAATAAAGCCATGGGATGCAGTCATGTCCAGGACAATACGAAAGAGCCCTTTTAGGTTACAAACATAGTACATACTGTCTACTGGAGTGCTTATAGCATTGCAGAGAATAAGCCCATACTGCCCACTGGTGCCTGAGTCTTCTGCTCTGATTGCCAGCACACAATGTTCTCCTGCCGATGCCACTCCAAGTAACAATTTCACTGGTTTGTTGTAGCACTGTTGACATGGCAAATTAACTTGTATCTACTGATTCTTCAAAACAGCAGTATTAACAACAATAATTTAATTTAAGATTAAGATAAGTTTTAACTATTACATGAATAAAACAATGATACATGGAAGACTGTCATGGGAAGACACAGAGATCTATGTACACAAAGGCAGATATAATAAAATAAATAAAGATAAATACTATTCAAATTAATCTTTATAAACAAGCTGTATCACTTCAGGCAGAATAACAAGATTTGGCAGACTTCATTTTGCCCACTTGGTAAGTATATATTTAATAGAATGGGTCTGAAAGCACTATAATATTCATTATCAAATCTGCCATTAAGAAACATTGACACAATTTTCTTACTCTCTTCTCCACCATTAAACATTAGGTGCTGTCATATGTCTGAAGTATAAATTGAAACTTGGAAGACATTACAAATACAAACATTTGACATTTCAACATCTCCATGTCTTCTCAGTTAAGTACTTCCGTAGCAACTTGATTTGCTGTAATAAAATATTCTCTGTCGACAAGCTGTTCCAAAATGTAACCATAGTCCAGCGTTTCAGAGACAGAGAATGTCTTTGGTCTCTGCAAAAGCCTCAAGTCTTATTTGATTTGTTGTGTCAACTAACCTCATTATTTTTAGTATCCCAGAATGTTACAGTTGTTCCAGGCCTGTCCGGTCTGTTGTAGCAATATACAACAGTGTGTTCTACATAACTCCACCGGTAATCTGGACGGATATTGGCAAAATAGATGTATGAGTCTACAGCAAGGGCCACACGCAGGGAACCACCTTCCCACACACAACTCGTAACCTCCCGACCAGGAATCCTCAGTGTCCGCAAGCGCTGCCATGAAAGTATAATGAATATCATTATACTATGTGATTCACAATGAAGAAAAAATCAAGTAAGGAAATATATCAAAATAAGAAATTAAAACTATGTATTGCAGTGGTGAAGCATATGATGTGTTACTAAACAGTGTAAAGAAGAAACAGTTTCACAGCTTCAAAAGTAGTTTTTGCAATTTTTAAAAAAAAGTGATCTAACAAAAACAATTTGTCCCTGATCAAATGCAGGCAGGAATGAGTAGGAGCTAACCCCCCCCCCCCCCCAACACCTACATGGTGTGTAGCAGGACAGCTTTACTTTTTTTATTCTATAAGAAAAGCCTGACAGCACACTTTACTATTTCTGATCTCCTTGTATTATAAATGAAATACTGAATGTACCTCTCCAAATGGTGTGTAAAACTGTATGACATTACAATCCTTGTTGTCTTCAGCAAGTTCCATTACACCAGTAACAGCAATGACACTGCCATTGTGATTCCATCGGCAGCATACAGCAGTCATGCCCGTGTCAATTAGCACTGGTACTGGGCAAAAAGAAAGGTTGTCATACAAATGTATTTTAAATGTGGTTAAAGACTTCTCATTACACTAAATAATAAGGAATTCTTGCAAATGTTACTTGCAAGACACAAGAACATATAATGTGGACTTCAAGGACATTTCAGTAACTATGTACTCCAGTGCTGATCTCACATAGCTGTAGGGTCGAACAATAACAGAACTGTATTGAAATTGTTAATTTCTAAATGTCAAACTCTACAATAACCAACCATACCAAAATATCAGTCAGCCATTCAGCAATTTTGTTTTCCACTATAACAAATTTTAGAGTATAAACATGAAATAACTTGCAATGACATCATAAAAATGTTTGAGAGTATCCTCTACGGATCAGTCGTTTTTATGTTTTAAAATTCATGTATTATCACCTGACATACAACCAAGACATCATTGCGGATGAATGCTGAGTTTTTCAGTATGAAACAAAGCAGCAGAACATGCAATGGAAATCTCCAGGACCACCCTGCCAGACACATGCCAAAATCAAAAGTCATAACAATGTTGATTTTTTCTTTGATTGCAAAATGGATAATACAGTGAATATATGTTTCACCAGGTCAGACTCAACTAGAAATTTTATGTCCAAGTTCTGGAAAGTCTGAGACAGCAGGAGGCCTGAATTTTTTGCCAACAAGTGGATCCTGCACTGTGCCTTCACATACAGCACTTTTCAGCAATAAATTTTTAGTGAAAAAATCAATTATGGTCCTGGTTCCCCACCAGATCATAGTCTGTTTGTCTGCTTTCCCTTCCCTACCACGAAGAATCATCTCTAGGGATCACATTTTGAAACCATCAGAGAGATTCATGTGATAATGGCCATTCTAAACATTTTGCATAGTGCTTTGACAGTTTTAAATAATGCTGGAACTCACATATAGCTGCAGGAGGGAACTACTTTGATGGAGAACAAAATTTAATATAGTGTTACCTGTAATAGAGTCTCATTATTTGTCAGACCTCGTACAAGTGCTACATAAACTGCAATGATTACTTACTGTCATCATTTTCACCACGCATAATTTGCATGCAGCCATTTTCATAACAGATGGCAAGTACAGGACAGTCTTGTTCCACAAATCCCTGTCTTCCATCATACCAGTGCATACCAACCACCTGTGTTGGGCTCAGCATGTTAGGCACACACTGGATGCTCAGCTTCATCTGAATACAGAACCACTTGTTAGTGCTGTTCTGAATAAGACATGAGTTTGACATAATTTAACTCTCATTACATTGTAAAGGTTAATAATTTGTTGTGACTACATAATTAAATAACTTTATAAAGCATTTATTCTCAGTTATTTAGATTATTTTTCAATGTTTTAATCAATTATTCTCCGAATTTATCCCCATACTGCATATTTATGATGGCAGAAGTTCTTGGGGTTGACTGTATTTGGCTTAGAATTGATATACGGAAGTTTGGTCGGCCAAGCCTCACAGTGAAATGGATATATGATTTCTCGGATTTCTTTGTCAGTGGTCTGATTACAGAAGTCTTCACAAAAGGACAGAACACGCGTGATCACAGTAAAGCACTTGACATACAAGGTAAAAGGACATGAACTTCTTTTCCTCTCCTGACTTATGTCAATCTGACTGAACATAAAATCAACTGCTGTGGAACAATACAACCCGAGACAAAGGGAATACCACATGACACGACCAAACAGATGACTGACTGTGGAGAAATTTCGTCCAGGACAAAAGATGACTTGACAGCAAAGGTCTGGAGAGATAAACATGATGTGTATGTACTATCAAATATGCACAATCCACCAACAAGAGAAGACAACTTTTGTGACAAATATGGAAATGCCTTGAAGCCACAAACTGTACAGTATTATAACCAGCATATGGGATACTTCTTTGCCAACCACATCAGAGCACTGACTGAGAGCTTTGACTCAAACTTAACTGATGTGGGGAACCCCTTAGTTCAGGAACTTGGAAGGCACCTTTGATGAAAAAGGGCTGACTGA